ACCTGCACGTCCCCTCGACATCCTTAGGATACCAGACGAAGGAAAAAGTAAGTAAAAGTGAAGTAACACAGCGACAAAAAAGCTGAATGAAAGATGAACAATAGACATGCATTCATAAGGAATATTGAGGCAGGAGAGGGCATTATTTAATACAACCTTCAGCACTGAAAAGCAAAAGACGTGTTTGAGAGTCAAAACTTTATGAACTCGGACACTTGGCAAGCCGTAGAGAACATATTAAAACACTGAAAGATGATGCAGCTTTAAAAATATCGTGCCCTTAAAGAAATGGTGGTGTCCATGTACAGGAATGTGATCACTTTTCCAAGACTGCCGTGCTAAATCAAAGTAGCTGTCACTCACGTCAGAATGTGTCACCGTCAGATGGCTAACTCTAAAGACAAGCCAAAATAGTAACTGTTGTAAATTAGATTTAGGGCAGTTATATACCTTGCTATTTTCCTTGTTTATGTACAATGCTTCTATATAATGTGCAGTATTCTTCTTTAGATGGTAGCTTTATAAACAGTAGCTTTATTTTTTTCTGAAACAGACCTCGACTATTGGATTATATACAAGCTAAATTGGTCCCACTCACTTGAATGACAAAATCACCCCCACCCTCTCTCTCGCCCTTTCTTCAACTGAAACCGTCAATTCGTCGTTTCCAAATTAAAAATGATAAGTCTGCTCCTATATTGGGCGTACAATTGTATTGCATTATGCCCCCCCCCCCCACCTACCGTCCATGTCGAAGTGTCCCCAGTATTTGCTGAACTCATCCAACTCCATCGTGCTGTCGGGGCCGGCATAGCTTCGGAACAGTCGATCCAAGCTCAAGCTATGCACGCTGAAAACACACAGTTATGGTAACAGACATTTCTTTCTGTAGTGTGGCAACAGTAATAAGGTGAATGGGATAGTTAATGTAGGCCCATATTTTCATATGAAAACTATCATTTGTATGACAACAGTGGGAATCAAAAGGGGGGGGGGGGTTGCAGATTGTTCCAGAAAGTGTTTATGCTGATTGTGAATTTTAAATTGAGTTGGGTAGGTGTTGGCTTAGTTTGAAACAAAGATAGTCTTTTTAGTGTTTCTGTTTAGGTGTGCAACGTTTGTAAATGGTCAATAGGTGTGGCCATTTGTAATTTGCCAAAGTGAATAGTTTTATATAAATTATAATACTTGCAACTTTGTCTCCTAGGTGTTAGTGATTATCAAGTTAAGAGAATCGTATTCATAGTAAGGACTGTAAGAATGTTTGAATGAGAAAGCTTATAGGTCGTTGCTTTTTCAAAAACCTAATATTGTTGATATATCAAACAGGCCCACTATTTCGAGATGGCTTGTTCACAATTTTAAGTCCTAATTCCCCAGTGGAACAAAAAGTAGATCTACATGACAAGAAAATGAGTCGTTTCAGAGATTTGAAACACTGATGTTAGTTGGACTAAATTAGTTTTTCCCTTTTCGCTGTAAAAAAAAAGAATATTTTAATGAGCACCACAATGTTGGATGAATAATATAATATGGACCTTACAAATGAAAGATGTCTTATTTTGAATGTAGTTGTTAAAGACATGCACATGTCTAATGATGTCAATTTCCACCCATTCGCATTTATTATGCTTTTAACATATTATTAATTATTAATGTCTTTGTCCAAATTATGCATCCATTATGTCGTCGGGCGAACGCTACCCGCCTTGTCGAGTGTAGCACTAAGAATAACGCAGTTGATATGCTTAGACGCAGAGGCTAACTATTCATCAAAGACAGGCAGTAATTGTAATATATTACATTCTTATATATTGTTATATAGTGCAACCTTGGAAAGAACAGAAAGGGCAGGGTCTTCAACCTGGTCTTTTTCACTCGTAAAAGGGAGCTTTAACTATGAAAAGATGCTATGAATTCATATCTTCCATGACTGCATTATTTCCCATGTTTGAAATAAACCAAAACAAAACTACGTTGGAACAAAATTGATAGAGTTGAATCATAACCGTGTAACTTTACCAGAGCGTGAGTGAAGCTGCTATCAAGAAAACAGTCCTCATTGTCACGAAGCAGGAGACCCTCTTTTTCTTTGATGAAAAGTGTAAATATATGATATACGCAGAGCCACAAATATTTAAAGTGGATACTGCGTCTATAGTAGAGATTAACCCATTTCTTACCTAATTTTTGTAATAATCAGTTTCATCTTTAATGGGTAAGATCCCATTCCAGTAACAAAGTGAGAAGCATTATATTTTCCCAAATGTCCCTTTTATCCTTACAGATGATGTTCTTGTGAATTTTCTATTGGATAAAATAACGCACATATATAAGACAGCTTGTTTTATTGCATCATTTGTGACCTTTTACTAAGACGGGCATCTTAAAACTTGAAATTATGAAGTAGGTTTCAAAGTGTAATTTAACTAAGTGGCACAACAATGTGTTTTTACATGTCATTTTGTGAAACGATAACAACAAATATAAGAAGCTTCCCGACCATAGAGGCTTGCACAAAAAGGGTTAAAGTCTAACATGACCACTGCCTTCGGATGTGTTATATAAACAGCCTCTAGTTTTATCGTGACGATTGTTCTTGTAAACTCTAAAAATAGACACTTACGTCATATGTGTAGGGGAAGTGTCGTGAAAGAACGTAATTCACATCAACAACTATTCTAGTTTGTAGCCTGCTACATCAATCGAATTGTGTACATTTGTTTTAACGTTTGATTTATGAAAAGGGAAAGTAGTCATAATGCAAAAGCCCTGATTATGCGCATTTCCTTCAACTGTCATAACGGCGACCTGAAAACAAATCCGTTTCTTGTTATCAAGACATCTAAGGCAAAATTCGACTTACTCTTAGTTTGCACTTTATATAGAGCCCAGTTAAAACTGATACGTTGATTTCTAATATTTTATCTTTTCATATTAAGCTATAGTAAGCTCTATACTATAACTTTCAGCTAGTTGAAAATAGATTTATGCTGCGACTGGGTCTGCGAATGAAAATTGAGGAACAGTGTTTGTTTTTTTAATCTGGCTTGACAAGCGTAATGATATCAGAACGTCGACAGTGGTTTAATTCCTCTAAAATGTTGATAACATACTTAACATAAAACCAGCTTAAAACATAAGATTAATTAAATCTATCGAAATGTTTCCTGCATAAAATGGGGATTCTTTTGCAAAACTTCATATTCTTAATTAAAAAGTCAAAAGTTTACTACAACAAACGTACTTTTGGCTCTCATGAGGACTGAAAGTGAAAGAGGAGTTAAACCTACCAAGAATCTTCGCAGCTATAATATTTCCGTTTCAAGGAGGGTATCGTCACATCCTGACCTCATGATGGACGAAAGTGTAAACGACTCAAGTTTGATTTCGTTATAAAAAAAAGGTTGTTTTCAGCACGATATTTTTTGGATATTTTCATACCTTTCTATTCCACAGGTTTGATCCTATCGGACATGGACGTTGAGTTCAGAGACTTGGTTCCTTAAAGTGACCATCGACACGTATTCTTGTCAGCACCCTGTTTACGGTTAGCGATGAGAAACTCGCCTTGGGGGAACGGTTTTTAATAGAATCATGCGAGCTTTTTGTGTCTTGTTCACGCTCCCCAGACATTCTTCAAATACACGAAGACGTGTTCGTATTTGTGTCTAGGGTATTTCCTTTAGAATTTAAAACAATACCACCCGTAGAGCATTTTTCACGATTTTAGTGACGTTTTTGGATCATATAATTATGATCCTGACCAACCTGTCAGTCAACAAACTCCTGGTCACTGCGGTTTTAAAACAGTTTTACGGTTTTGAGGGGGATTCTAAATATACCAAACTATACTCAAACAAAGTAACTGTAGGAAAATGTCAAATAGAAGGATGAAGAGAACGAGGTTTTTATGAGAAACTTTTAATGAAAAGCAGTTCTGTGTTGAGTATAAACGGCGCTCTCGACCGTCCAAAGATTACCAAGCCAGCTATAAGTCTTGTCCTACCGAGGACATGGGGCCCTTTTAAAATCGCATTACGTCATTACTGTCAAATTTGAAGAATGAACGACCTCTGAAAGCTTGTCTGCCTAGTTGGACATTCAACGAAGATCGTGACCTGTTGTTCGCTGCGTGTATTACCGACCGGACTGAAAATGGAGTTCGGGAGATTTCTTATCACTGCAAGTTTCCTGGGAGCCTTCATGTGCGCAAGTGTTACAACATAGGCCTCGCTTAGCTTGAAAACAAAGTCGTTTTTAATTGAGATTTCTGTAAACAGCTAATTAAGATATAGTATTTTGAAACATAATAATATACACCAACGAGCATTCATTATAGTTGATTAAAATGTTCTCCCGATCGAGATCATGTTTCATACAAAGGAACATAAAATGGAAACAGTTATGTTTATTTCAAGCCAACCAAAAGCACAATAGTTGGTTTAAAAAAACCTATCGTTCTTCAAAATGATGTAAATGTTTTGATTCACATTGTTGTATACAGTCTCATAATCGTCCTCATAGATTTCTCCTTTATTTATTTTCGTGATGGATGTGATATTGTTTTCTAAAAAGTATTAGGACCACCACATTTTTCGTCTCTCTACTATATTTATCTATTATCTATTTGTGGTGGCCGAATTTTGCTATTCAAAATGCTTTTTAATGGCAGCATCGATCGACATGCGGTTTTTGCAAAAAGATTCTTTAAAATATTCTCCAGATCATGACGCCCTTGGTTTTTTCAGTTTTGAGTCAGTTTTGCTGCAAAACGCTAAATTTCTTTATTTCGCCGATCGCTTTTGTAGGCCGACGCTTCTGTCTCTGAAATTTTAGACAATCTGAAAGTGGTATTTCGCGAGGCGCATTTTGTTTTGAGAGTAATAATAATAATAATAAATAGCATTTGTATAGCGCATATCCCCTCTCAACAGCAGGCTCTATGCGCTTTACACTATATTATTATTACCCCAGCAGACCATAGAACACTCCGAAAC